GCCCCTGCAGCATTGCACGCGAGTTGATTACGTTGATTGAATTGTTGAAGGGAATTGAATCGCATTGCCCAGGCTTGACAACACGAGAGGTGGGACGCGGGCGTTCGCTTCCCTCCGCGAGCTCTTGGCTTTGGCGTCGGAGGGTAGGGAGGGGAGGGAGGGAGGGAGGGGGGGAAGGGATGATTGAAGAAGTAGGAAGTAGGAAGAAGGTAAGAGGAAGGTCGTGGTAGGGCGTTCAAGTCTCTCGATCGCCGCCCACCTCCTGGCCCACTCCGCCCCACCGCCCACTCCGCCCCACCGCCCACCGAAGCTTTCGAAACCCTTTCGGCGTCTCCGCTGCCGCGTGTCACGAGGGTGTCCGTCCGTCCGACCGTCCGTCCCACTCGGCTCGTGCGCGTCGCCGAGGCTGCGGTCGAGCGGAGGGAATCGGACGAAGGGTTGTTCCACCTGGAGGTAACGTGATACTCGGGTGACGAGGCGGTTCATGCGGAGGGGGGCGGAGAGCTGAGGGGGGAGGGGGTGTTGGGGGAGGAAGGGGGGAGGGGGGCGTCGGCTTTCATATGTTCATATAGATCCGTAGAAGCACGCGCGATTCCCGTGGATGTGCGGAGACGAAGGCGAAGGCGGTCGTCGTTCGTGCTTTTGCGTGGCGTCGGCGTCGACGTCGGCGTCGGCGAGGGCGAGGTCGCTGACTCAGCCTCGAAGGTCGACCCAACGACAGCCTCGCTCTCAACCCCTCCCCCCCTCCCCCCCTGCCTTCTATCGTGCCAGGGTCAGCGTGCCAGTCGGAGTGTCGCTCGGATCTTGCTCACACCTGCACGCCCAACTCCCACCCCCCCTTCTCTTTTTTGAAATATTAAACGCAACACCTCCCTCGAATTTAACCCTTTTTTTCTTTTTTTTAATGTTTAAGGGTCGGTTTCGTATTATTTTAACACGTAATACAAGCCACAAGTAACGCCACTATAGAGTCAATCCCCCCCCCCACTCCCCTCTCCCCCTTTCCCTCTCCCTCTCCCCCTCCCTCTCCCTCTCCCCCTCCCTCTCCCTCTACCTCCCACCCACCTCTCCTTCTCCCTCTCCCTCCCTCTCCCTCTCTCTCTCCGTCTCCCTCTCTCCCCCTTCTCTCTCTCCCCTCTCCCCTTTCTCCCTCTCCTCTCCTCTCACCCTCTCTCTCCCCTTCTCCCTCACCCCCCGCCCCTCCCCCGCATCACACCCACCATGGCCTTATCTCCCTCATCATCACCCCCTTCCTCACATCTGCCGCAAGTAGGCCTATTTTTCCCAAACAGAGCTTACGCCATCACCCTCGCTTGTTTGGGAGGGAGGGAGAGAGAGGGAGAGAAATTTATTTCCTAACTTATATATATATATAGAGAGAGAGATAGATAGATAGATAGATTTTTTTGCGTATGTTTGATTTTTGTTGTCTTTCACATCTCTCTTCTCCTTTTTCTCTCTCTTTTTCGTTTTTCCCTTCTTTCGTTCCCAAACACTGAAAGGGGTTACTTTATATCGAGAGTCACATCAACAACAACAACAACAGAGACGACCATAACCCCCCTCCCCCCCATCCCCCCCATCCCCCCGGCGTCCCCCGCTCTCCGCCGAGGCCGTCCCTCGCCCGGCGTCAGCGACGTATCAGCAGACGTCAGTCGCGAGCGGCGCGTCACCCGCGACGCCTTCATAAGTAAGGCCGAGACGCCGGCCGCTGTCAGGCCCTGTCTACTCGCCCGCGCTGCCACGTTACATTATGGGTAGATTACAGGTAGATTACAGGGCGAGAGGCGACGCCCGCGCCCGCTCTCGTGGGGTCGGCGGGGTTCCTGCCCTGCTCTTTCGTCCTCCTTGGTCTTTCGTTTTGTTATTCGCCCTCGGTCTTGCTCTCTCTTGCTGTTGGTCTTGTTCTTGTTCTCTTTTGCTCATGCTCTCTCTCTCTCTCTCTCTCTCTCTCTCTCTCTCTCTCTCTCTCTCTCTCTCTCTCTCTCTCTCTCTCTCTCTCTCTCTCTCTCTCTCTCTCCTCCTCTCTCCCTCCTCCACCTCCCCTTCCCCCTCCTCCCCTCCCCCCTTCCTGACCCTCTTCCCCCCCCCCCCCCCCAACCAAGAAGGCCCTTTCCTTGGCATCCCTTAAATAAGATAGCTTGTCGCGGCGCCCTTTTGGCTGAGTCTCGCCGACCGATAAGGCGTATCGCTGTCTTCGGGGCCGGCCGGGCGTGACCCCGTTTGACCTCGCTCCGCTTTTGTTTGTTTGTTTGTTTTGTGTTTGTTTGTTTGGTGGTGCTTGTAGGTATTCTTTTAAATTTGTAATTTGGTTTTGTTTGTTTTATTTATTTATTTATTTTTTTTATAGAGGATTGTTGTGGAATTATTTATGTGTTTGTTAGTTATTGGCTGTAGTTATTTTATTTGTTTCTTTATATTTTCTTATATATTTATTTATTTATTTATTTTTATTATTGTTATTTTTTTTGATGAAGGGTTGTTATGGAATTGTTTATGT